TTTTTCGTAACCCCTGGCCTCGAATGAATTTGGACCAGAGGTGCAGGCCGATTCGGCTACCGCGTTAACGGCCGCCCCAACCGGTAGGTACTGGTGGTTTAAGATAAAAATAACCGAGAAAACATGAGTCCAGATGTACCCTCTTAAGTTTAACCCCTTTAGTCACTTGTTTATAACTTTTTACTCCCCAACCCCCACTGGATGACCCATCACCAAAACCGAAGTTAAGACCGGATTGTGAGTGCTTAGGTCAAGTGCAGTCGATCCTTGCCTCTATTTTGTCCCGTCTGGTTTTGCCGGGCGACCCCCCCTATGCCCAACTGGCCGGGGCGTGCCGGGCCGGGCGACCTTCCCAAAGTTGGGCGGGCCGTCACGACACCAAAATAAATGAGAAAACATGAGTCCAAAAATACATGAGAAAACATGAGCCCAAAGTTGACTGCAAAGTCAAATCTTCTGGGATATCTCACCGTGAAGACAGGAATTCCCAGCGTCATTGATTCTCCTACCATCGTCACCCAAATAGAACGCACGGTCATTATTGCTGTATCTAGAAATTTTCCCCAAACACAGCTGTTGCGACCGGGCATTGTATTCAGGTGAAGACAGTAGTGTGAGGTGATAATTAGGCAGAGAGCTAGAGCTATCCATCGGATATTGCAACTGTTCTTGCACCCACACAGAATGAAACAGCCACAAGTACAGGCTCCTTTTTTTTTCTTCTTTTTTTTTTTAAACAAAACACAACTGAAGTCATTAGGAATGGTGATAAGAACAAGTACAGGCTCCTGGTGTACAGTGGGGGTGAAAGGTGGAGAAGTGAACTTGCTTGAATTTCTGACATGGACTGTCCTTGTCCTGTCCATCTCTTGTTTGTGTTTCGCTCTGGGTCAGGCGGGCGAGAAGCTGACAGAGGCAGTGAAAAGGTTGAGCCATTTGGAAAAATCTCTTGAGAAGACAACGAGCACAAAAGGGCTTGAGGTAAATGTTATGTGGCTGCCTATCCTTCATACACTTGTTTCAAACTCTCTGCTGTTTCGCCAACCTTAAGAAGAGAAGTTGCTGTGAAGTACTACAGCCTGTACAGTTGTACCATGGTGACTAGATCACGGAGCCCATCTCTTGTTCCCCTTTTAAGTGAGGGTGCACAACTTCTGTATGCGTCAAATAGCCACAGTCTTTCATGCCTCTGCATGCACACCTCAGCGCAGCCATAGCCATTGTGTTCTGGCTCAATACTGCACGGTTTCAAGTGCCGTTTGCTGTTAAGGGCTGCTCGGTGCAGCCTGGTGCTCAAGTGGACATCACCTTTTTCTGTTTTTCGCAAGTATGCTGCTGTGAGTGTCCAACTCAAGCTCGGTGTAAAGCTTTTTACCATAGTTGCTGCGCACCTCGCGCAGATTTGCGCACGCGCAGCGCACCATGCGCACCACACGCAGCGAACTGAAAAAAAATGAGGTCCCCAAAAAAAAGAAAAAAAGTAGGGGTTACGTAATTTCCTACGGCACCCCCCAAGGAAAACATGTTCAACTCGCCGCGCAAGTTCAGAAACTGTCCGCGCCCTTGGCCCAAAACTTTTTTTTTTGGGCAAGGGCTGCCGAGTTTTGAATTGTCCAGGCCCCTCCCCCAAAATAAAAAAAAAAACCAATTACAAAAATAGGGCTCCTTGAGTTTTATTCCACTTTTCTTTTTTAGGCGTGGTGTGGTAACTGGACTTCCCCTTCTGCAAACCGCTCACTGTGACAGAGGTGGACGAATTTGCAAGAAGGGTACAATTGCCCAGTTGTGCCATACCCCAAACTGTCTCGTACACGGCACACGTCCTGTTTACTGAGTCCATTCGACCCCCAATATATACTGAACATTGGCAATCCCAGCCGACCACCAATATATTCTGAAGATTGGCAGTCGGGTCTGCATGTCGGCGGTTATGGGTTAGGATGAAGATGCCTGGTAGATCTCTCGTTTTTTTCTTTTTGTTTTCTTCTGAATACGTACAGTGGCCCAAGGGGCCTCTGGCCACTTCTGGCCACATGCACAAAAGACATACCATATGACGGTGTATGGTTCCATGTTTTAGCAGAAGATTCATTCTAATGTTATACATTTGGTGAGTACCACTGAATGGTGGATCTAGGCCTGAGAATCACGTTGAGACACGAAAAGGGTCTAGCTGAATTGGTGACCCATAACTCCCAAGCTACAGACCTGAACTCGCACCCACGGAATATATTGGTGGTTCTGCTCCCACCTTTCCTGTGTATGATGCGGCCATCCTGCTTGCTGAAGCAACGGTACTCAATGCCTCCACAATGTCTACGCGCGTTGTCAGAGCCATTTGTTTTGTTCTGACGAACCCGTACAGGTGGTAAACATCAACCCAATTGCATTATTGCGCCCTCATGAACACCTATATACATGCTTATTGTACCATGCATGAACTATCACAGTGACTGTTACATGTATGTGTGGTGGAGCATTACTCTTGGAAATTGTATGGGACTGAAATTCAGCATACTGGTATGAAGGAAGTCTTGACGCCGTTCTCAAGGTGTCCACTATGGACAGGTATGTACCAAAGACTTAGGAGCAAGTTTCGTATTTTTTATGTTGAAGGATAAATCGATTCACTTCCCATCATCTCCTGTATCATCATGGAGTCATAGACTGTACTCGTGCAGAGTCGTGCTCCGTCGGAGACTTTAAGGCTGTGGTCGGCCAAAGAAATCTGTAAATGAATCTGACTGACCCTGTTACTTCATCATGGGTGAATGGCATGCAGATCAAACAACGGGAAGCTGATTCAATCAAAGTTAAGTTGGTGGCTACTTTATCGAAAGAAGTTTCTGCCTTGCAAAACATGGGTGATGAACAAGTCAAGGTTAATTGGCTTATCCGCTTCTTCTTCACAATCCCGCCTGCTTCTCACCCTTCCATTTCCACTTTGACGCCTGACTCACACCCCTGCTGTCCATCTCTCTCTCTCTCTCTCTCTCTCTCTCTCTCTCTCTCTCTCTCTCTCTCTCTCTCTCTCTCTCTNAATTTTCCCGTAGAACATGGAATTATCCACTGCCACAGCATGGAAATATACATTGGCAAAAACCGAAAATGTGGCAGTGTATATTTCCATGTTCTAGCAACAGATTCATTCCCATTTTGCTCATCCTATGAATGGAAAACTCTCTCTCTCTCTCTCTCTCTCTCTCTCTCTCTCTCTCTCTCTCTCTCTCTCTCTCTCTCTCTCTCGGCGACATTTGCATCTGACAGCTCCTTAGTCCATAATCACACGGGGATTTCTTTCCAATGTATCTGTCTGTGGCGGTGTACCTTCCTATGTTCTTGCGGAAGATTCCTTCTCATTTTGCACAATGGCAGGCTGCTCAGTTGATGCACATATGAAACTGTTGAATTGCAGACGTGAGTTTGGATCCAGCGGGGACCACAATAAAATAGTTCTGATTTACAAAGGATCCGACGGCGTGCTGATGCCTTGGCCGATGCCCACCTGGTTAAGCATGGTCTCTGGGGCAAGAAGTTTTGTCAAAAAAAAAAAAAAGGGGTCAATTGGGGTCATAAGACCTTAGGTAGATGGCTCCATCACCAAGGGGGACGCTCCCCGGAGAATCCCAAGATATCATGGCTCCCCCCAGATGCCCCGATCCGCGTGTTAGGAGTGACTATAACTGCCCAAGGCCGGCCCCTAACCAATGATGAATGTATAAAGTCACCGGCTATGGCGAAGCTGACAAATTGGAATCACAAGCAAACCTTGTTGTTTGGGAGGGCCCTTGTGATCAACAATGTGGTTTTGGCCTCCCTTTGGTATAGGCTGATCCTCTGGCCGCTCAGTGAGACAGTGTTGAAAGCACTCAAGAAACATGTCGCCATCTATTTGTGGCAAGGAGACAGCAAAAACAAGCATGCCATTAGCAGAGTGTCCTGGGATTCAGTCATCCAACCCAAGGCTCGTGGGGGCCCCGGCATTTCGGACCCACACACCCAAGTTCAAGCGTTGAGTCCGCAATGGATTTATTTTTTATTTTTTATTTTTTTCTTTCTAAAAGTCCAGGGTGTTGTAGAGGCCAGTTACTAGGCTCACATTGCTCGCCGGAAGCTGTCAGCCATGATTGCCCTGAAGAGACGGGAATACCTCCCATCCCATCCTCACGTCAATACTCCTAGCGCACCCCCTATTCCTACTATCCTACCTCAGTGTGACCAGCACTCAGGACCATTACCCTACCATCGAGGGGAACATGGACCGAACAGTAGTGACAGGCACCAGGGCTAGTGACCCAGCCCTGGTGGAAGCGTAGTCGAACAAGCCTCGTCGTACGGGAACTTTGGACGCCAGGCTCAAGCAATCACCTATTAGCCCCTAAGTAGACCGACTAGTAACTCATGCCCTCTCTTTATCATCGAGACGCCTATTATTAGTTGGTCGTGACCTCCTCCCAGCCCTATGGTTATATATGTGTGAGTGTCCGGTATTGTAGGTATGTGCCCGCAAGCTATGTGTATGTTTGTAATGTGCGTGGACCCGTAGCAGACGCTGCTCCCCACCATGGAGCATCTGCGAAGTGAATACCAGTGAGAGGTGCTCTTATCACCTCTACCAGTGCCTGTGTGAGCCATGTGTAGGCAGTATGTATAGGCGCCCTAGAAACACCTTGCCTCAACACAGCGGAGGGGCGACCCTATGCGCCCTTAATCTGCTGCCAACGATAGACAGCCCTCCTCCAGATCCCCGATCATCGGCTGAGGCTCCCCCCCCACCAAAGGACCCCATGCCTACGTGCTCTATCCTCAGTAGACACTGTCTCCCACCTATCAGCAGAATCCGGTCATTGGCTAGGTACTTCCTATAGGGATCGGAAGGGACAGACTACAGACTCAGTAGGTGGTGGGCCATCATCCGTCCTTCCACTAGCCCCCAGCCTCATCCCTCCGATCAGCCTATCGTGGTTATACCTGTAGTCAGTATCTTGGGTAGTGTCTATCATGTGTGTGTGTGAATCTGGGGTAGTGTCTCGTGTGTGGGTGGTGTCTATCATGTGTGTGATGTAACATGTGGTAGAGACAGGCCTATCTGGACAGGACCCCTCCCAAAGTCCAGGACCGGACTCGAACCTGTGACCTACAGTATGAGACTGAAGGGTTCTACCACATGCACTACCGTAGGAAGTGAATAGAATGTGTGAAATATGTAGGCTGGGGGAGATCATCAGAGGGACCAAAGCCAACAACAGCAAGCAACCTACGTGAAGTCTAGACCAGCATACAACACCCATGGACTGGCCCCCTGGGTGGTGCACAGGCAGTGTCTGTAATGGTACCATGCGTCAGCCCAGGGGAGTGTGTGTCCAGCCGTGCGTCATTCTAACGCCCTGCCGGTGTCCATGCGCGAGGCTGCGGAGTTTTATACCCATCTTGCATGGAGGCCATTGGCCCTCGCTCAGATTGCCCGACTGGCCCCAGAAGCCCCCTCCACAACAGACCCCACGATTTGAATGGATGACAGATATTGGAGGCTACCGCGAAAGGCACGTGAAGACTTTGTTAGGTCGGAACCCGGGCACGACCTAGCTAAAGATGACTTTTGGCCCCACCTGTTGAAAGCTTGGAGGAAGCTTCCCCCACCAGGCCGGCCGGCCCTGCAGAGGTGGGAGGAAGTCTCACGACAACCCCTGTTTGGAAATGGGTGGATTACTGATAAACACAGCAGGGTCATAATTAGTTCAGATATCAGGCATGGGGTCCTACGGGTAGGGGACCTATGGGACCCCATTTTGTGCGAAGGCCGGACCAGGAAGGGGACTGGGTGGCACGAAAGGGCGACCAAAGTCGGGTTGAACTGATACACCTAACATGCTTGGAGGACGTGCTGATAGAATATTTTACCCTAGGTAGAGAGGGCCAGATGATAGGAAGCAGGGATCCCTTCATTTGGGTCGAGAAAGGGGAGCTTTATCGGGTCAGAGCTCTAGAAGAGGGGCAGGAGCGCCATGCCTTTCGACCTGACCTGCAGATCTCAGAACTGTCACTGGATCCTGCAGAGTGGGCCCCATCCCCACCCACACTCGATCCGCCGCTCCCAAAACCAAAAAACTGGCCAAAATCAAGGTCAAGGCCACCTGCAGGATATTGAAGATAAGACTGAACTTGAGGGATGTGGTGAACGATAGGTGGCATCGACACTTGAATGTCGACCGCCGGTTACTTCAGCCAATTTGATGGTTTGAAGAAACCAAACATAACGTCCCTGCAATGGCAGATCGCCCACCACTGCCTTCCAACCAATGAATGCCTTATTGATCACACACATTTGGAACAGCAAGGAAAGGCACTCCCTTGGTGCCAAAGGTGTCTACTGGCCTTTCCTGTGTGGAAAAGGGCAGAATCAATCGAACACATTTTTCTGATGTGCCCTTCATCTGTCCTCACATGAAGATGGTGAGATAGAATCTGGCATCAGATTGTCCCGGGGTCGACATGGCCGTAGGACTGGCGGTTATCTTGGCAGGCCAAGTAGCCGTTATGTGGGTGTTGTGGTGGCAGCGATGTGTCTTAAGAATGGAAGGAGTTAGGGTGGAGGGGGTGGAAGCAGTGGAGCAGGTAAGGCAGCACGTGCAAGCAACATTGGAGCAGAAATGCCAGGCAGTCAAACAAACACTGGACACACTGAATACTCAGCAGGATATTGCCAGCAGGATATCTCAGTTCAGTAAAGAGTGGTTGGGGGGGTCCAAGGGGGGCTGGATTGCGGGACTGGGAGCGAGACCAGGGAGGGGATGTATAGGCAGCAGGACCAGCAAAGAGAGGAACCTTACAGGGACTGTCGCCTGGAGTTCATGGATTGGACATTGGTGGATCCCAGCATCACCCTGCGGTCAGCAGCGGAGTTTTCAGATCTGTTCCCACCGCACCCTCTATCCCTGGTGGAAGTCCTACCACCCATCTATAATTCAACCATATGCAGAGTGAGGGGACACAGAGATCGCCGGTGGCACCCAGCGCCTCGGCTGGTTCCCGAAGTCCGACCAATCAACACCCAGAGCGTCTCTGGATCTTCTTGAAGCACTAATGAGACACTGGACCCGGTTTCCGGCAGGTGGGGGGCTGTTAGTCAGCTACAAAAAGTGTGGATTTTTGGCATCCATGTGAGGGCTGAAGAGGCTGGACACAGCCAAGGCGCTTGCTTGAGGCACAAATAAACTCTCAGTACTAAGTACTTTCTTTTTTTTTTCTTTTTTTTTTTCAGAACCTATGTATCAGGCGCTTACTTAACGAGGTGATAAGGGCATCCCCTTTAAGTAGTCCCCTTGTTTGAAGGCGCCATCTATTGGTGGGGAGCTGCACCTGCTGGAAATGGGGTCCAGCGTCCCAAGACGTTGTACTGTAATGTATTGTAATGTATTGTAATGTCATCACGGCTTTTGCTCTGAAAACTAGCTACTTTTAACCTGGGCCAAAGGCCTTGTATAGGTGTGGTGTCTGCTGTATGCTTCATCGTACACAGAATTGGAAACTTGTTGGTGGGCCATAGGCCATGTGTAGGTGTCCGCTGTATGCTGTATAGTACACACTGTTGAAAACTTGTTGGCGGGCCCCAGTCCCCCATGAGGACTCTGGGGGTCAGGGGTTCCGTTCCATTTCCCGTGTTGTATTCCACGTGCTCTGCTCCCTCTGTTGTCACTCCTTGGTTCCAGTTAAGATTTGTCGGTGATTGTTGTCCAAAGGAATCCATGCTTGGCCGGCATACAGCAGAGGGTAGGGGGTAGAGGTGTGGGGAGGAGGGAGAAAGAGGCAGTGGGCGGGGGGGGAGGAGGTGGGGAGTCTCAGCAACGTGCAAACTTCTGTTCTTGTATAAGGGATGCTGGA